TCCTCCTCTCTCTCTCTCTCTCTTCCTCTTACAATTATTTCTAAATATTTTACAACATTTAGAAATATTAAATAAGATATTATTTAATATTCGCAATAGGCAATAGATTTGTATATTATAGTAACCTAAAACAAGATTGTAAAATAAGATGTAAAAAAAAGTGTTCAAGTATACATTTTAAGAAAAGCAATTAATTTACATCATTAGTCGATGTTATAACGGATTAATCACAATTCAAATTGATATTAAAGTTGAAAAAACATTTTGTAGATACATTGCTGTATAATTAATGTTATAATGTACATAAGTTTTACGGACATTTCATATTGTTTTAGATATGGGATGATGAACTAGCTACGATAGCACAGAGATGGGCGGATCACTGCGCCGAATCACACGACAGTCTAAGAAACGTTCGTAAGTAAACAAATTGTATCAGCAATTACTTTCATTATTATTTATCACGTTGTATATGTATAATAATATTATTCTTATATTATCTTATTATTAATTTGCTATAAAAATGACATAATATTACAATATTTCTAGGATACTAAAAGAATATTACGTAGTTGCAATGTTCTAGTATGTCGAAGAAGAATAGTATTGTAAAAACCTGTTTTCTTTACTTCTTCTCTCTCTATTTTGCATTACTTTCTTGTATTACTTTCTTATTCTCCTTTGCTCCCTTTGTTTCTTTTGCGATAATTAAAATTCTCAGAGAGAGACTGACATTTGTTGCTACAATGAAACTACATAATTAGGAATAATAAGAATATTATAACTCATTATTTATATTAGGTTATATACATTAATTAAGCGTACAACTTTTTTTATTATATTGAATAAAAGACAACGTGTTTAAATATATGCATACGCAAGGAAGAAGATGTCATTTCTTGCGAAAATGTCAGCGAGAATTTGTTTGAAACATATGCAAAAAAGGATTAAAATTAATGCAATAATAATTATATTAATTAAATTAAAAAAAAACAAAATTTTGATACTAAACATTTCAAGTTATCCTAAAAAGATATGAATTTCTACTTATTATTCAAAATAAAAATTTAAGTAAAAATATATATAAATATTCTGTATTATAAGCTGATAAACATAAAAGCTATAGTATCATTTTGCTTCGTTATCTTAATTTTGCGTATTGTTGTAACAGAGTGAAAGAAAAGATTTAATAAGGACTTCTTAATTTCACGCCCTTTTCGTTTAACGCGCACGTCCACGATTGATCAAAAACGATCAATTTATAGGTAGATTTGCAGTGGGACAAAACATTGCTCGCTCATGGACGACTAGGCCTCCGGGACCTTACGATGGCGAGCCAGATTGGAGACGACAAATTTCTGGTTGGTTCAACGAGGTACAATATTATCATTCCGGTTACAGTAAAACCACCGGGCATTACACACAGGTTTGTAATCGAAGCTTGCAATTTCAGGAATACATGAGCGTTAGACTCGAGAGTTAACTTATCAATAGGTTTTTTTTATTGCGTACTTTTAGTTTATCCGATTCCTGCTGTAAACAATATCTATAAAGGAAAGCTGTGGAAAAAAGAAAAATATATTCTATAGCAAAATTATCATTGCCATTTTTTTGTATATCCAATATGAAAGTGATACTACGTCTACTATCGTCAATTTGATCAATTGATATTGTTATGTTTCATCAATGGAGCAAAAAAATTTCACCGAATAAACTTTATTGAAAGATAAATCTATTGATAAAGACTGGACAATCTGTATTTTTAACAAATAACATATTTCTTATGCTCAAACTCGCTGTCATTATTTTAATAATATACAATGGGACAAGAAAATCAAAATATATTAATATAGCTTTAAAACAAAATTGTGCATTTTTAGCAAATAAAACTATCAAATCTTTATCGAATCTTCATATGTCTGCTGTACATATAATGATGAAATGCAATTAAAAGAAAATCGAACAATTTCACATTAATAAACTGAACATATATAATATAATTACCATATATAATATAATCACAATATATCATTTCTCGTTAAATGATGACATCACATATTTCAGAGGTCAATTTCATTCGTAGGTCAGTTTCGAAATAAGTCCGAAAACTCGATCGGTTTGTAAATTGCGAACAGCATTTAATTCTTATTCTATTAAACTTGTTATTTTATGAATTTTCATGAGATCACGGTTTACGAAAAGAATTTTAGCATAGTGAATTTGTCGTCGTGCGAAAAAAAGTTGTTTCCTTTTTGCTTTTTATTAATTATTTATCATGCTATCAAAAACGCGCATAATGCGGGAGACGCTTAAAAATTGAATTTTAATTTAATTTACATTTAAGGAAAGATCTTAAATCTTTTTGAAAAAGAAAAATCTTAAAAGTTACCAATGCCTCTATTTTTATTAAAAGAAATTTCTAAATTCTCTATAAGTTATATAACTCTATATATATATATATAT